TGGGGCCCCATTCCCCAGTGCTCTACCTGCTTGGTTGGGGGAGAAAGTCAACAGGAATCTTCCCACAATGCACCCTTGTCCCATCCATCCCTCTGGCAGTCAAAACCATGATTCATCCACCTTTTATTTGTTTTGAAGATTTGCCATAGCAACCGCCTTCTTGGTTTGGCTGAATTCCAGGACCTTCAAAGATCTATTCAAACCAGAAAAAAAAAATCAGGACCCAGTGAGGGGAGCTAATTCCTAGAAGATAAATATTTTCTACTTGTAAATGAATCCTTGGATCATCTATGCTCCTGAATGATCTGTTCTGTGGCCTCACCTTCATTTTCATATGGCTTTTTCTCCCTCTTCCACTAGCACTGGCTATGGACAGTGATTATGTTCTAGACTAGTTCTGAAGAAACACGAAACTGCTAAGGCAGAGACAGGAAGAGAATTGGACTTGAAAATTATCTTCTCTCACTGAGCTCGTGTTGTGATAAGGCCACAGTTGAATGAGGGAACATTAGAGAACTGGGGTCAGGCTACATGACCTGAGAGCCTCCACTCCTGAAAAGGCCAATGGGTGAGTGGGGCAAATAAGAAATAGTCTTTATTGGTGGGCAAAGTAACGCATGTGTGACAGGGTTATCAAGGTCCTGTGTAGCTAGAGGGTGACAGACACGACACAGAATCTTTCTATGGCTGGGTTGTGAGACATGAGGACTCTAGAGTCTCCTCAGAAGGTACTCATGAAAAGCAGAGACTGTTCTGTTAGGGGCACTTGCAGAGGTGGCTGGACTGGCCACCACACCAAGGTCTAGAGAAAGGACAGTGCCCAGAGAGCCCACTTGTGTGTCCGAGGACCTTCCTGTTTCTCAGGACTCTTCTTGCTGGTCTGGGATTTCATTTTGATGCTTCTCCCAGAGCCCAGACAGCTTCTCAGGATAAACTGCCATCCTGGTCTGTTTCAGCCCAATTTCCTCCAAAAGTATCTTTTGCTCCACATTGACTCCGCTCCCCAGCCCACCTTCTCACATCCTCTCTCCTCTATCCCTCCTGCTCCTGGGTTGGGGAAGCCACCTGCTTGATTTATGTGCTGTCCTAATGCTCTCCCTTTGAGAGGCTGGCTTCTATGACTAACAGGTGACAATGGGGCCTCATCCTCAGCAGGTAGCCTACAGTAGAGAAACCAGAGATGGGTTACATAGCAACCAAGGAAAAAGGGAACTCAGCCCAGTGCCTACAAATCAGAGACATCAGGCTTCAGGTGATGGAGTATGATGGATGGAAGTTCCATCCAGGTGGTGAGACATCAGGCTTCAGGTGATGGAGTATGATGGATGGAAGTTCCATCCAGGTGGTGAGACATCAGGCTTCAGGTGATGGAGTATGATGGATGGAAGTTCCATCCAGGTGGTGAGACATCAGGCTTCAGGTGATGGAGTATGATGGATGGAAGTTTCAACAGATAATGGGCAGAGAGCCCGCAGGATGTCAAGGCAGGGTGGAAAGGCATAGCAGCTGGGTGGGCAGGGACCAATGGTTCCCAGAGCTAGAAGTAGGATGGCAGTGTGGAAAGAGTGTGGGTTTTGGAGAAAAAGACCTCATGGAATCCTGGCTCCCTGTGCTGGCTCCTTGGTCCAGGGTTTAGCATGTCTCTGTCTTAGGAATAACAACACCCACCTCAGAGAGGTAACATGCCCAGCCCAGGGAGATTCTGGTCCACAGTAAGAGCTCCATAAACATCAGCTTCCCTTCTCTCTCGTCAGACCCCCTTATGGTACTCTGGGCCTGGAGTTCAGGACAGGGTCATAGAGATGAGGCTTCACAGATGGAGAAAAGGAGCTGAGCCTTGGTCAAGGCCAAGAGGCCTCAGCCTGCTCTAGTGGACCCCCAGGTGCCTACATGGACCTACTGAAGCATAAGGTGCATGATAATAAGATCCCCAGAAGAGTGGTATGCGAATTAAAATTTGAGAAGCATTGGTCTAGTCAAACCGTCTGTACAACTCTTGAGTTCCCTATAATACCTGTCAAGAGTTGTTGAGTGTGAAAAAAAAAAAGTTGTTGAGTGTGTTCTCAAAACCTCCGGTAATGGTGAGCACCCTACCTCTTAAAGCAGTCCTTCAATGCAAGGTCCCCCCTGCCACTTCACCTTTGTCCTCAGCTTTCTCGTTTTTTGTCTCTTATTTTCACCAAGCCATGGTTACAGGGACTCAGTATCTATAGCCAGCACCCCAAGAATGCACCCCAATCCCACATTCCATAGAAACTCACTCAGAAGGTCAAGGGAGATCCCATTTTTGTGAATTTTCCTCCCAGATTTTATTAATCTTCCTGCCTGGTGTCTTTTAAGCCTCAGTTTCAGCACTACAGACTGTTGTCCAAAACTGTCAGAAGACAGAACGGGGCCAGCCCAGGAGCACTGCAGAACCCCTGGTCTCCCAGGACCAGTGTCTGGACCTCCCACCTGTGGACTATGTTCTTCTCCTCCTGGGTGTGTACCTTGGGATGATGCAGTCAGGTCCAGGAGCACTTGTTGCTCATGGACAGGAATATGGATGTGTCTTAGGCTTAGGTTTGCTATTTTTCCCCTCCTGCAAGAATATGGAAGCTCAGCCCCAGGCCAAGAGGCCACTTTCGTGACACAGCAGCGTGAGGAGCTCCCTGAAGTAGGGCGGCACCTCATGCTTCAGATGCACATGAGCAAGCCTTGCCCTTTTGGTCCTGATGCTAGCTGGGTGTGGGGATCCAGCAGGAATTGTTATGACAAGTTAACACACAAGGAGCAATGGATTTGGAGCCAGAAGCCTGGGACTGACCCTTTCTGAAGACTGGTTTCAGCACAGGTGAGTGGGAATTGGGCCAAGATGTCCAACCTCTGCATGTTCCCAAAATCATCCAAGTCCTGCCTGGTCTGTAATCCACATCCAGTCCTGTCACTCTGGGACCTGCCAAGGTGATAACTCAGGTCCTATCTCCTGCAGGAAGGTCTACTCTATCTCCAGCACCTTGATCTGCTGCTCAAGAAAACAGACTCAAAATCCAGGAAAACCCTGCCCACCTTGGAGACCCCTGTGAGCCTTGTCCTCCACTCCCTCCCCAGGTTTGGTGATGGACCAGTGGTCTCCAGAAGAGCAGCCTTCATCCCCACACATGTGAATCTAGCATTTCTTCTAAGCCTCTTCACTGGAAAGTTAATTCTGCTAGCCCTTCTTAGTCCTTACTGCTGCAAAAGGAGCAGGGGAACAGAGGCAGCAGGTGTGTATGGATCCTTTGCTAAGGAAATGGCAATGTCTCCACCAGTTCTGAAAATACACACACGCGCGTGCACCTCCCCTTGTCAACCAGGGAAACAAACTTGTTGCTGAATCTTGATCTGCCCTCCTTCTTCCACCCATATCTGCTAAATGGTGGTGTTTACTTCCAGGCTGAGGGCAGGCAGGAGGCTCTGGCTGATGGTCACTTTCTGGGTGGTGAGGGTTGAAGCCTGGCTCTGTGACCTTGTCCTAAGCTCTGGCCGCTTATTCTGAAGTTCTATCCACCAACCCAGCCCATCCATTCCTTCCTCCAATCTCTCCACCTCCATCTTTGGAAGCCCCCCACCCCCGCCTCTAGGGCCCCAAGGACTTCTTGGCTGCGGTTTGTGGGCTTATTCTGGCCACCGATGGAAGCAGCCCATCTTTCCTGCTTATGTTCCCTCTCACCACAAGGCAGGACTGGCCACCACCACAGTGATTTCAGAGTGAACAGGTATTTGGGCAGGTGCCAACGACAGTCACTGAAATTCACACAGTGTGCCCTGACTCCCAAGTCGCTCTACTCCAGTTGAGCCTCAGGTTTCAAACACTTCTTCCCTATCGTAGCTTTCCAGTAGAGAGGCTCAGAGTGTGGGGTCCTTACTAACCCTATCCCTCCTAGTTACCCTACCCCCAGGGGGCCAGGTTTCTGATCAGAGAGGAAAGGGTTGAACAAATGCAGATACCTGCCAGCCGAGCCCCCATCTTCCCTCTAAGAAAGGCCTCACTCTCAGAAAGGCCAAAGGTCCCTGTTGGGAGCAGGACCAATTCTGTCATTTGGACACAAACCAGGTTGCCCACACACCTTCCCCAAGTTTCTCTCTTCTTCTCTCACAGTCCTTCCCCCTTTCTCCTCCCAAACTCTGCTCTGTACTCATCTCCCTGCAGCCCCAGTGGTGTTCTCAGCCCTTCTGCCATGTCTGCTCTGAGAGTTTCTTCTGTTTCTGCTCTTCAGGAAAAATTAACCTAGAAATATGGGCTACACAGGCAATATGCAGTGGTGTGCTCTATGTAACCATGTGTGTCTGTGCAGTGTGTTGTGTTGCTCTTTTGAGCATCTTAATGGAGTCTCTGTATATACCTTGACGACTCAGAGAGACCAAGTTATAAGACTTTGCTGTTTATTGAGGATGCAATGGGAGGGCCTATACGAAGAAAGGAGAAGTGAATGGGCCTCCTCTTCTCTGCTTCTGGGTGCAGAGAGTGAAGAAAGAGACCCTGAGTTGTGCTTTTTCACTCAGAATGAGTGGTGAGTCTGAGCCAGGGTTGGGGTGAGGACTAGGCCTCTCTTGGTTGTTTGTCCTTCAGTCCTCCTTTTCTTGGACAGAGAGCCAGCTCCTAGCCTAGTCAGGAGCCGGGATAAAGGCCCTTGTGCGAGATGGGGCCTTGTTGTGAGATCCAGGGGCCAGACAGAGTAGTTAGAAGCTAAGCCAGAGGCTAGAGCCAGGGGCTGAGCTGGTGCCATAGCTGGGGGACCACAGCCAAGAGGGTGAACAATGGGCTTGTGCAGGGAGGAATTCCATCAGGCTTAGTTGTCCACACCTGACCAGGCTCAGGAAGACACAGGTTGGGAGAAGTGAGGCGGCCAAGGCCAGAGCCTGAGGTACGACATCAGGACCGGCGGGATTGGGCTGACAGTCGGCTGGGAAGAGCAGATGTGGGAGCCAGAGCCCCTGCTGGGGACACAGGGGTGGCAGAGGGCACCAGGCAGCCCTCTCTACCGACTGGCTTTTTTGGAGGGAGCACCCAGGCTGGAGCCCTTCCCCAGGGTATCCCTGTAGTCGCTGGCGCTGCCCCGGCTCCGGCTCTCCCCGCCACGGACGCTGCACACTCCAGAGATGCAGCTGCTGCTGTTAGCCACATAGCCGCCACTGACCGAGCTGGGCCGGAAGCCATAGCCACTGCTGCCGCTGGTGCTACTGATGATGGCTGCAGAGGAAGGACAGGTCATCACCCCTCACCCAGAGCTGCAGGAAGTTCTTGGAGCAACGGGTTGGGTGGGGGCTCTAGTCACATGTGACCCCACCCCCGGGGCAATGTATTTCTGAGAGTCTCGGCCACGTTCTGCTCTTGGCTTGCTCACCTTACACCCAATCTGGCTGCTTCTTAACTCACAGAGGCTCCTCTTTTTGGTTCAGGCACCAATGTATCCACCTGTCATTAGTGACACCTACCCCCTGCCCTTTCTATTAACTTTTTTTGTAAAAATTCCCATCCTTCAACCTCTCCTCCTGCTAACAGCCCCACAGATGGCATCTTTCAGGAGTTCTGGTTTAATTCTCTCAGCCTAACCATGAAACATAGAGATCCACCACTGTCAACATGCCCTGTTCACTAATTCCAGCCCCCTTAAAGTCCCCAGGCCAGGCCTGATCACGACTTGCAGACATGGCTCCTCAAGCACCACATATACCCACATTCATGTTCTTGCAACATGTCCCTTGTTTCCCCAACCCCATGGCATGTCTCCCTGTTCCTAGCTGCCAGCCCTTGGGAACAGGGAGACAGAGTGACAAGGAGGGAGGAACCCTGGGCGAGGAGTCAGGAGGCCTGGCTTCTGGTTATACCTCTGCTGTCTGACTCTAAGATCTCAGGCAGGTTTTTCCCTCTCTGATTTTTAGATTGTTCATCAACATACACAGGGTGTGACAAAGCCCCTTTCTGGTCTGCAGATTCTACAACTAGGTTCAAATATACAAATACTTACAGATGCTGACAGGGGAAGGATACTCTCCTGACATCCTGTTTGGGAGAGGAATAAAATAAGAGCAAGAAATCATGCAACCCACCATCTATAAACCCCAGGGCTAGTGTCTCCACTGGTCTCATGTGGGCTTCTAAACCCAACAGGTACCTATGGAAATTCCAGGTCTTCTTTGGCACAAGCAGAGCCTGAGAAGTTGGGGGGCTACCCCTGAATATTTTGGTAATCAGGCAGTAACCCAAGTCAAAAAGTAGTTCATATGAGGTGCTCATGTGGGGCAGTATGCACACTTCCCAAGGGTCAGACCTAGGCACTGAGCCTTTCCGTCTCTCAAGAACATTGGGGAAAGCAAAATGGAACATCTTCAACGAGCTCATCTTGTACCTAGACAGGTAAGGAAGATGAAACAAGAAGACCTAACATAGTAATGGGTTTTTTTGGGGGGTGGAGGGGAGTGTGTCTAGGTACACCCAGGGAAGTTGTGAAGATTGGATGAGTTAATTCACATAGCACAGGGCCTCGTTTGAGGTAAGTACTCATGCCTGTGGAGGAACTGTTAATAACTATTATTATTCCCGTCATTCATTCACCGCCCCTTCATTCCCCAAGAACTCATCTTTTCTGGATTAGGATGTGTTAGGTTTTCTCCTGAGGTCCTCCCCAAACCCTGGGGGCTTTCTTGCCAGAGCACACCCCCCTCTTACCGGCACTCCTCACTCTCCAGCAGCTTGCGGTAGGTGGCGATCTCCATGTCCAGGGCCAGCTTCAGGCTCATGAGCTCCTGGTACTCGCGCAGCATCCGGGCCAGCTCCTCCTTGGCCTGGTGCAGGGCAGCCTCCAGCTCATCCAGCTTGGCCCGGGCATCCTTCAGGGCGTTGTCCCCCCGTTGCTCAGCATCGGCAATGGCTGTCTCCAGGTTGGAAGCCTAAGTGGGGAATTGGAGAAGTTGGAAAACTGGAAGGAGCAATTGGAGACATATATGTCCAAATACCACTCATTCTTTGAGATTCTGAGAAAAGTAGCCCACGTCTACCCTTCACATTCCCTGCTTCTCTTCTAGGCTGGGGCCCCTCCTGGCACTGGCAAGTCTTTCCTTAGCTCCTTCTCTGCTCCCTTGTGTTTAGACATTGGTGGTGATAACAAATAGTGCATCTTGCCCTCCTGAGATGATGGCCAAGTCACTACCACTTCAGTTATCGTAAAGACATTTACTTGGCCATCCTGTGCTAAGGATACAAAATGAGTAAGAGTCAGATTGGCTTTCTGCTCTTGACTTGTTTCAAGTCAGGAGAGATCACTGGAATATGGTGTTACAGGTACAATGACAGTGACTGATGAGGTGCATGGACCACAGATGAGAGGCACAAGGAAGGAGATTCCCCAGGACCAAGTCTTATTTCCCAAGTGTTTACTGTCCACCGTAGAGACACAGCCCTTTATCCGCTTTTTATATACCTTAGCTTATCTAGTTCTTACAACTCCCTGTACAGTGAGGACAAGTGACTTTCTCAACATCACAGAGCTACTAAATGTAAAGTTTGTGCGAGAGTAGAAAGAGCACTAGACTAGGAGTCAGGAGAACCTGGATCAGATCACAGCTCTGCCACTTACCAGCTGTGCAGCTCAGTTAGCCTCTCTGAGCCTCAGTTTCCTCATCTGTAACAATGGGTGACACTTGCCTCAGAGTCTTTGTGAGGATTCAGTATGATGCAACGATAGGAACTGCAACTATTGTGATTATGTACATGAATCTTATCTTGCCACCTAAGGCAAAGGATCAACTCTGTATAAGGCCATAATAAATATCCACAGTAGGCACTTTAATGGGTGCTCTCTGAGCCCACTTCTCCTCAATCACTTAATCAAGAAATGTTTGTTAAACTGCTACCAGGTGCCAGGCACTATACTAGATGCTAAAAAAAATAATGGGGAACAAAGCAGCCAGCTCCCAGCCTCCTTCCAGTCCAGTGGAAAATGGGACAGGCAGGTGCAATTATAGAAGTGTGACAAGTACAGGAAAAGCACAGGTGCCAGGAGAGCACATTGATTGGACCAGAGGACCGTGGTCTGAACCCAGCATGAGGGTTGAGAGAAAGCTTCCTGGGGAAGTGGCTTCCAAACAAGAGCTCCTCATTCTGAGGAGGCATTGAGTTACCCCAGGGAGGTCTGATCTAAATGTTTGAGGCCCCTTTGCTCTCATGGGCAGAGATTTGGGAGGTTGCCATCCTTGGCCAACTCATCTCCCTTTCAGACAAGATCGGGTGCGTTCAGGGTAGTATAGCCATAGACTCATTTCTTCTTCAATTGTTCCCACCTCCCCAAGGCCACAGGCAACTGGACCCCTTACCTGCTTCTTCACATTCTCAATCTCTGAACGGATTCTCTGGATGAGCCGGGTGAGCTCTGAGATTTCGTTCTTGGTGTTCTTGAGGTCGTCCCCATGCCGGCCAGCTGCCAGCTGCAGTTCCTGAAACTGGGGACCCCAGAACACAGAGCCATGAATGAGCGTGATAAACATGTCATGGGAATACATGATGTTTCGGGTTGGTGATGTCATGGGGGCAGGGCACATTGGACCCTTAAGTGAACATTCCTGGGAACAATGAGACCCAGCTCTCATGCGGGCTGGAGTTGCCCTCTCCAGCCCAGCTCACCTTGGTCTGGTACAGGGCTTCGGCCTCAGCCTTGCTCTTCAGGGCAATCTCCTCGTACTGGGCGCGAACCTCATCAATGATGCTGTCCAGGTTCAGGTCACGGTTGTTGTCCATGGACAGGATGACAGATGTGTCACTGATGTGGGACTGAATCTGCGTGATCTCCTTCAGGGAAACAAGGAGAGTCTCAGGATTTGACTATCGAAGAACAAAACCTTCTCCAAGGAAAGTGAGCAGATCCTGGTGGTATCAACTTTGAGGCTTCAAACCAAGGCTGTTGCTCCCTGAGCATGGCGAGTTCCCACTGGGCCCTGGACACAGTCCTGCCACCATGGGACCAGAGCCTGGTCTATGTCCTTCCCACCCAGAAGGTGGGGTTTGAGGAGCCTCTCGGGACTGAGGTGGGAGATGAATGACTAACCAGGGGGCTCTCCTTGAGGGTGAGGGCCTCATGCCCCTCCCAGCCCCCAGAATAGAGTTTTACCCACTGACTGCCCTCAGAGGGGCAGGGTGGAGAGGCAGACTTACAGCTTCAAAGAGACACTTGAAGAACTTGATCTCCTGGTCCATGGAGTCCACCTTGGCCTGAAGCTCCACCTTATTGGCATAAGCTGCATCCACATCCTGAAAGATGCCCCAGTCACCCTCGGTCACTGCCAGTGCCACCAGGGAGGCAACAGCTGCCCCCGCCTGGGTGCTCAGGGCAGGTATGTGGCCACCTTCTTCTCTTTGAGGGGCCCATGGAACAGGAGGGGAAGGAGCATCCTGAGGCTCTTCTCCATGAGCATGGATGGGCGCCCCTCAAAAGAAGGGAGCCCCAGCCAGGCTGTTGTCAGCCATCCCTGTGATGTGTAAGTAGACCCTGAGGCTATTGGGGAACCCCCTTGTGTGTCACCCCCTACTGTCCTTCACTATGGACAAACCCATCCACATTGAATGTCAGGAAGGCCGCCATCCTCCCTGCCTTTGTATTCTCTTTTCTGAATAGTTTTTCATCATGGGTCCCTGCCTTTACCTCACTATTTCTGAACCAGCTCTCTCTATCTGAGAGCAGAGCTCACTTCGGGCTCAGCATCTCCTGGTTCCCTGTCAGGCCTGGACTCTGGGCCTGCCTTCCCCTCACCTTCTTGAGCAGCACAAACTCGTTCTCTGCAGCTGTCCGCCTGTTGATTTCTTCCTCATACCTGCGGGAATGCCAGTGCTTGGTTGGTTAATATGTCTCAGTGAAAAACCTCATTTGCCAAAGGAAGACTCTGAGTGAGGGGTGGTGTGCCTGTCAGAGGGCACAGGTGCTGAGGGGCTGTGGAGTACTAGGCAAATGAGACCAGCCAGGCAGGAAAGGCTTCCTGAGGGAGGGGACATGCTAACAAAGTTCAGAAGAAGGAGATTGTTGAAGATACAGCTTCAAAAATGAGGAGGGAGCAAATAGAGTGAAGGCGCTATGGGAAATCTCAGAGGAAGCAAGAAGCAATCTTTTTCTTCAAAGTTTGAAACAAACCTTCCAAATGAATAGGAGCATTTCTTGAGTTACTCCTCATAGTAGTTCTGAGAGATAGACGGACTTAAGCCCCCCATTACCAATGAGGACACAGAAGCTTGGGAAAACATAATAGTTACCCAAGGATCCCCTCACCCCAAAACCAGAGTTAATCCCCTGACCTCAGTCCAACTAACTGAACTGGACATTTGTCCTAACTGCTAAGCCAGAGGCTGGAGGGACAGAGAGCAAGTTCCAGGGTTTTGTTAGGGTAATTCTGCTTTGTATGATGAGAAACACTGCTCCCCAAAACTTCAAGCTGGGCAGGAGGAGTTGAGAAGGATGGGGAAGTTGTTGAGCTACAGGGGTCCCTGTCTCACTCACCTCTTCTTGTAGTCCTCCACCACATCCCGCACGTTCCTCAGCTCTGAGTCCAGCCTCACCCTGTCCCCGGACAGCGTCTCCAGCTGCTTCCGCAGGGTGCTGATGTAGCCCTCGTACACAGGCTCCAGGTTGTTCTTGCAGTTGTTCAGGTCCAGCTGCTGCAGAAGCTCCCACTTGGTCTCCAGCACTTGGTTCTGCTGCTCCAGGAACCGCACCTGAAACCGGAACACCAGAAACTGCTGAGCCCCCACAGAAACGGTCACACCTGTCACTCACAAGGCACTATGAAGTGCTCTCTACCCCTCACAAGAGCTGCATGAGGTGGGCAAGTCCTTAACCCTATTTAATGGAGAGGAGACTGAGGCATACGGTTTAGCCTCTTTCCAAGATCTGGTGGTTTAGTAAGCGGTGCAGCCCAGGACTGAAACCAGACATGGGTCCCCATAACTCATGTGTCCAGTCACTCAGATCCCACCACAACCAAACCAGCACAGGGCAGGGATGTGCCTGAAGGTGCCAGGGCAGGGTCAGACTGGGTCCATCTTTGGGGAGGTTGACCTCTTCTAAAGAATGGGTATGCTGTTCATTTTACAGTAAGCCAAGGTCAACGAGGCTCAATGGGCCAAGAACTTCAGCAATTCTAAATCTCTGTAAGGCCCCAACTCCACTTTGCTCATGGCCTCTTCCGCCTCCCCTCACCCTGCTCCTCAAAATCATCTTCTCTATGGACAGATGACACTCCCCATGCCACTTTGGCCTCACAGGGGCCATGAAACTGACCAGAGGGGACGGATCCACACATACCTCTCTTGTTTAGTTTGGGTGGGGCACTACTGTTTAAATGAGGTTGATTCCCTAAAGTCAGAAGCACAAGATATTGGAAAACTATCTGGGACAGTTTGGGGGATTGTTGGGATGGGTTTGCCACCAAACAGCTTACCCCCAGCAGATCAGCCAGCATTTGGTTTGGCTTAACCAGTTCTGACTTTTTTCATGTATATCCGCAAGGCTGAGCATTGACCACAGAGTAAATCCTACACCCAGGACACCATGGTGCATATCTGGACCACACTACTGGACACACCTGGATTGCTGATAGGAGGTAGTCACCTTCCCTGGCTACCTGGGTCATGGGATTGTGTTCTTCTAGAGACTGAAATGGTTTGGAAACTGTCCATGCCTTTGAGCCTGCTTCCCCCTCATCCCAGTGAGACCGCCTTTGTTCATAAAAGTAGCTGCCTTGTGTTCATCTTTCTTTCCATGTCTCCAGACTTCATCCTTTAATGGGGTTTGGTCAGCCCAGTCAAAGGGCAGTCCACTTCTACCCCCAACCCCAAACCTCAAAACACCTTGATCTTCCAGATGTGAAATGATTTAGAAGAGTAAGAAGTCACAGAGTTGGTGGTGGGCCCTCGAGTGAGCAGAGGTAGCAGGGAATCCTCCTCTGAGCAAGAGCTGAGAATGGCAGGGACTGGCGGCGTGGCGGGCGCAGGGAAGTGGTACATCTATCCTCCGATGGCTGCTGACCATTTCAAACTTTGGCCTTGTCTTGGGTTGACCTGTCCTTGGTGCCTCACTGTCATGTAGCCAACATAAGCCTCCAGTCCCCAGCACTCAGTTTGGAAGTAGGAGACTGAGTGTCCAAGCTCACCTTCTCCTCCCCAGATGACCTTGGGCATGGCTTTCCTGTCCATGCTTTTGCTGACTCATAAAATGGGAGCAATAACTTCTTATCCACTGACAGTCAGGGGCCTGTCTGGACTGGATGATCCCTTAAGGTCTCTTCCAGGCCTTTGATGCTCTCCTTCTCAACACCTTTCTCCTAACGCTCCAGAGATTAACATGATAGTAACAATAACCACCTTTGGGGAGTTCTTAGTATGTGTCAGGCATTGTGCCAAGACCTTCACTGGAATTTTCTTTTCTAAGCCTGACAACGACCCCAAGAGTTAGGTTATTATCTCCATTGTAAAGACGAGAAAACAGAGGCACAGCCAGCATAAATAACTCTTCCCCAACCGCACAGCTGGCAACTGATGGGCCAGGGTAGAAGTCAGGTCTAACTTCCCACTGCCCTATTCTGCCTCTTGAGAAAGTCCTCAGCTGACTGAAACAAATGCCCTTGGCAGAGCCACCTAGGAATGACCACACACTAATGCTCCTGAGCCATCAATCAAGTGGCCAGCGGACGAGATCAGTTGGCCATGGATGGGAGGAGAGTTTCCCTGGTCACTCTGGGGAAGATTCCCTCTCGCTGGCTTTTCTGCACACAATCTGCATGGGCCCAGGCTTAGCAATGGTACCAATCTTGCCCTTGAGAGTAAGAAGCATAGCTCTTCCCTTAGGCACTCCTGCCACTGACCCTGATAAGCCTCTGCCAGTAGAGGCTGACTTGCCTCTGTCTTTTCTAGGGAAAGACTACACAAGAAATATTACACAAGTTATCCTAATGGTAGAAAATACCTGTCTTATCCACAGTCAGTGCCTCTCCATATCGAACCCCAATTCCTCATGCTGTAATAAAAGCTCACATCCCAAGAAGAGATGCTGTTCACAGGTTCCCCAGGTCCTAACAGACCCACCTTGTCAATGAAGGAGGCAAACTTGTTGTTCAGCGCCTTGATCTGCTCCCGCTCCTGGGCACGGACTTTCTGGATCTCGGGGTCCAGCTCCACGTTGAGGGGAGCCAGGAGGCTCTCGTTGACAGTGACCTGGTGGATGCCTCCAGGCGGGCACACAGTTGGGCACACAGGTCCCAGGGTCACACTGCCAAACATGCTGCCAGCAAAACCACTGGCCCGGCCCCGGCCAAATCCATAACTTCCACTTTTTCCACTGCCACAAGCCACATTGAAGGAGATGTTCCGGGTGCCCCCCAGGCTATAGAGGCTCCGACTGCTGAAGCCCCCGCTGAGCCCTTTGCCCCCTGCCCGGTAGGAGGACGTGCTGCCCCCCGAGAGCACAGCTGAGCAGCCACTGAAACCCCCCTTGGTGGCAGCTCCTGACTTGCAGGTGAATTGGCGGCTCATGCTGCAGTAGAGATGGAACTCAGTCTCAGGAGGACAAAAGCAAAATCCCACACGGGTTCAACAGGTTGCTGTGAGGACTGACAGGTGCCCTTCCTTATATGTGCTTGGCACTGGGGCTTGTGGATGGGCAGTCAAGAGCTTAATTCGTGGGTTTGGTTTGCCTGGGAGCAAGAAGTCATTTTCTCTATGCTGAGCTAAAGACGGAGCCCTCCCCACCTCTGAAACAACATGAAACCTTCAAAGTGCTTGGCTTGCAAGCCTTGCTCATGTAATTTGGGTCTTATCTAATTAACCTGCAGTTATAGGATAATTTACCCTGGGCCCAGCCTCTCCAGGGGGATACCACTAGCCCTTCACCATCCCTATCCTGATTCATCTTCTCTGGGTTGTGGGCTTTCTCCTCCAGGCTCAGGAGGGTGGGAGGAGGTAGACTGCTCTGGACAGAGAAGGCCAAATGGTAGAGTATCTGGGGACTCCAGCCATAGCTGTGTCCTCCTGCTTCCCAGAGAGCGGCAGGTTATTCAGGCATTCACCCCTCCCTCAGACCTCCTGGAGGCACAACCCACCTATGGCCTCTTCTCCTAACCCGTGGAAGACAGCACGTCTCTCTGCTGGGGTATAAGGGGTGGAACGACCCTCCCCCTGGCATGGGACATGAACAGCCCAGGCCAGAGTCAATTGTGGACACCATGAGCAGGGTACGGTAGGGCCATGAGCTTCTTTCTGCAAGTTCCCCAGGGAAACGGCTCTCCACACTTCGCCTCTCTCAAACTCCCGTAATAAGGCAAGGGACAATTGATGTCCAGTCCTTCAAGCACTGGACAGAAAAAGGAAGAGAAAAGGGCGATGCAGTTGGGGTCAGTGACTGAGAAATTCAGGGAATCAACTGGAAGGAGGGATGGGATGACAAAGAGAGGCTTGTTCAGGGCCTGGAGGTTTCAAGGAAAGACTCTTGGGAGGGGGTCCCCTCTCACCATTTCTGTCTTTCTTCCAGTGTACGACTATATCTGTCAATAAGACTAGGGGCAACCAGAGGACAGGAGTCATCTGTTTAGAACTCAAATAAAAGAAGCTGCTGTCAAGGTGAGACTGAACTTCTGCTGCATCTCTTCAGACCCACATGAGCAAAGAATGCAGGCTGGCTGGGGTCCTTCCCAGGGGTGCAGGCCTCCCCCAAGAAACTGGCCTAGTGAGCACGGTGCCATCCTGCTCCAAACTGTCCTGTGGTCCCTGTGATCCCTGCCCCAGATTCTGAGCCTCCATCCTATGTCCCTGGCTCTGGGGGTGGGTCCTGGCCCTCCCATGTAACAGCCAGCCATTGCTGCTGTGGCCCCTTTTTCTCCCATGGTTGACCTGATCCCTGGAGATTGCCCTTGCCCAAAAATCCCCCTGGGGCCCTAGGGTATGTGTGACTCTGGGCTGGTGGTGGCTGCAGGAGAGAGGAGAATTTAAAGCCAGGCCAGATTGGGGCTCTCTGTCACTTTGTTTAGGGGTTGACCCAGAATCCATTCCCTCCCTGTCCCTTGTTCCCCTCCTCCCCTCCTCACCCTTCCCCCTACTATTTTGTCTTCATGGTTCTTACTGAAACCACCAGAATTTCTCTTCTACCTTCTCTCTCCATCCCTTCTCATCCCTCCTCTCCATCTTCCATCCAGGTTTCCCCTTCTCCTTTGACACTTCTTTACCTATTGCTCCCCAACCTGCTCTCTTCCCAGGGGTCTTTCTGGGTCAGCAGTGCCCAAGTCTGAGCTCCCCTCATCTCCCTTTGCCCTTAGTATGTTCTCAGGATCTGCTGGAAGGACAGTGACTCTGGGCAGCTCCCACGAGGTTCCTCTGAAGGCTGTGTCACATGCCATTTTAGTTTTTCTTTGTAAGCAAAGTAAAAGGTTCTCAAGATCAGAGACCACCTAGTGTACTCCCCCCTCCCTACCCTAGGTTCTCCCTTCAGTAAACCTCTGTTGAGCATCAACTCTGTACCAGGCACGGTGCCCTGTGCTGGGGACAAGGAATGTGTGGTATAACACTCAAGGTGTTTCACAGCTCTCAGAACCCGGTCTTCAGGTGGGATCCGCTGCTGTGGCTGTGCTGCCTGTATGTCTCTCTGATTCACATGACAGTTCCCAGCCCAACCTTCAGTGTCCCACAGCTGCTGCCCTGCCCCTGCCCCTGCTCCTGCTCCTGCCAAGGACATCTCACCCACAGGCCTCCTCTCCAAATGCCTCCAAAATTTTACCAAACTATTCCTACCCAGCCTGGAACACCTTCTCTCCCCATCTCTTCTGATCCAATCCTTCTGCTCTTTGAAAATCTTGTTTAAAACCCTGGAATTAGCCCCATCTCCTCTCCTCCATGCCCTGGACTTCTCTGTCCATCAACACCTGTGTACTCCGTAGGGCCTGGGCCTGGGTGCACATTCCGTGTCCCCCAGCTGGCTCCCCACTCTGTGCCTTTGCTCAGGGCCCAGGACCAGTCTCTGGACAACCCCGTCCCAGATGTGGGAGGGCCAGCAGTTGTTGGTGCAGCAAACAAATAGCAGGGAGAGTGCATCTTCACAGCGTTGCTGGGCCGGCACCCACCTAGAGTGGCACCAGTAGGTTGCCCCTGGGGTCCAAATTCCACTCCACTACCCGACAGGGTTACTTTGCTTAACCTCTATAAGCCTCAGATTCCCCAGCTATAAATAGGATAATACAGTCCTTGTGGGATAGTTGGGATGATTATGTGTTAATCCATGTAAAGTGTTTGGTAAGTGCCTGGTACCTATTCAGTGTTCAATAAGTATTATCAATTACTGAAAGTAGAGAGTAAAGCAGAATTTAGGAATCAGCCTGTCTTATCCTGCTCTCTGCTTCCCCTCCCTTGGGGAGGATGTCTGGATCAGCCCATTCCCGAAAAGTGTCATCTGCTGACAGAGGACAAGGAAGGGTTCTTCCCAGAGGTCCCAGGCTCAAGGAATCTCTCCATTCAGACCATTTCTGATCATGAAAAATTTCCTGTTAGGAATAACAATAATAAAGTCACTGTCTAACAAGTGCTTGCCAAGTACAAAGTTAAGTAGGAAGTACTTTGCAAGCATTAAGTTTCTTGGTTTGATCCATTCATCAAATATTTACTGAGCACTTACCAAGAGCTGAGGGGGGCAATGCAAACTATCCTGCCCTCAAAGAACTTAGTTTTGTGATCCCTCCAAATACATTGTCTCTGGGAAAAAAAACATCTCATCAAGCTATTAACAAGTCATTAACGCCTTAGCACGAATTAGTTAATCAGATACTGGCCATTAGGTATGAAACACCCAATGTTGTTGATGAGGATGATGATAGAGCAGAAAGGAGGAGGATTCTGGCCACCCACAGGAAGGGTGGGCCCAGGTGGGGCTCCTGGGGTGCTTGTGTTTTTTGCTGGAGGGAAAGAGGGAGGGACTGAAGGAGACCAGGACAGGGCCACAGTTCACCAAGGTTGTGAAGGACCTTCCTGACCTTAACTGAGATTTGGAGAAACTCAGGGCAGAAAGAGGCAGAGCCCCTTGCTTTGAGAGGCCTCTCGGGCTGGTAGGGAAGGCAGAATGTGATCTACCGATTCTTAGCTTCATTTTCCCTTCATGCCCTTTGGTGGCATCTCCCAGCTCTCTAGTAGGAATGAAATTCTGAGCTATGCTTGGCCAGGCATGAGAATCTCTGAGCTGCAATTTTAATTGCCTGTGAAACAGTGGAAGGAAGTGTGTCAGATAGGAGTATCACACCCCCAAGCTCCCAGGAACATCTAGCTTAGACATCCAAGAAAAAATTTAAATTGTATGTTAAATAAATGAACATTTTGTATGTCTCTTGGTTTTATAGCCAAAACGTTTTATTTGGTTCACATGAATTTATGTTCCTATGTTTATGTTTGTATTTTTGTTCCTATGTCTGTGATGATGATTACTTTGACACATTTTTTTGCGATCCCTTGGCCCCAGTTGGGACCTGCTTGCTCCCCACTCCATGTCCTGGGGTCTGATAAGATGCAAGAGACGGTTTCAGAAAGAGATAGGTGAGAAAATCTAGTACAAGTCAAGATGGTACTTGTTGAATGAGAAGAAAAGGGAATGCCCAGTAGAGAGGTAATACCTAGGGACATTAGCACCACAGGGCTGCCTAAAGGAAAGGGTTTGAATTGAAGTAGTATACCGGAAGAAGGCTTGGGTGGGCTGGCAGTGAGGAAATGTGAGAACACCCAGGCTGGCAGGTAGAAGGGCATTGAGGAAAGGGCCCTCCAGGCTGAAGCAATCATGAGAATGGAGGGTGACCGTGGCGGGGGGGGGACCCCAGGTCCCAAAGTGCACAAGACAGGGCAAGTGGTAGGGCTCATGAGCTGGGCAGAATCTAAGCCATGCATGTTCTGGGAAGCCGAATCTAGCTGCTGTGTTGGGGAAGAATAGTGGGGGTCAGGAGAGGCTGGAGGCGCTGGGTGAGAGGCAGGTGCTTCTCTAAGCAAATAATTGTCTCCAAAATTAGAGAGAATAAGCCAGGCTATTTGGATGACATCAGCTCAGGTCCTGCCAGCCCTCCTCAGCAGACAGACCCAGAAAATGAGCATGTTGTCTGTGGACCCCCACAAGCCCCCCTTTCTCCTTGCACCCCCACATTCTCCCGTGGTTTCATGCAGGTGAGGGGGCTCAGCCCCAAGCCAGATGGATGGAGCATTGGCCCTGGGGGACTTGGCCACAATCAGAGCCACTCATCTGGGGGCAGGATGGCTGTTCAGCAGGTTTGCAGCTGACAAGATCAAAGGTGAGCTCACCCCAGCAGAGCTGGGTATAAAGGTGGGAAGAGGGCTGTCCTGCCAGGGATTCAGCTCCGCTGCCCTCCTGCAGTGTCACTGCCAGAGAGGTACCTTCCAGGGCCGCCCCACTCCCTAGCTCAGCACCATGGCTGGAAGCACCCCCTCTGAGCTTTGCTGGCCATCTTCTTTCCAAGCTCACTCCAAACCTCTGGCAAAGTGTACACCCTTGGGGCTCT